GCGGTCGGCACTCGAGGATTAAATGAAATTTGGCTGAGTGGACAATTAGAAAAAGGTTTGGTGCAAAGCAGTTTGTACGAAACCATTGCTACGAAACATTTTTTCTGAGTTGTTGTAAAGAGGTTTTATGCGAAACCTTTTTTGGTTCGGTAAAAAACCTTTTTTGTTTAGAGTGTAGTGATGATGGGTGCCGTAGATGCTTAAGAATAGACCTAGAGGATCTAATGGACTTTTTAGACTAGTCAAGTAGCCTGCCCTCTCCAGTTTTTTGCTCGCTTTGGTATGCATTGATCTTTAATGCGCGACAACGTCATATCAGACGACATTGTTTTTGGTAAAAAAACCCACTTTAGTCGTGCGCAAGTGATGCTTAGATACATTAGTAGGAGAGAAAGAAAAATGTGTGAAGAATAAAGCACTATTTTTGTTCGTCGACACGTGAATAAATGCGGCCTACATATAGTACCAGTACCGTTGATAATTAATACAAATTGATTCATTTTCATGAAATGTGATCATTTTCCTATAACAATGGATGAAGCGTCCAAAAATTGATTACTATACGGTTTTGCAGATGAAAAATTTCTTTCTTGCACTGATAATATGCCATAAACAAAGCTCGGCATTTCTATATGAGGCATTTTTTTCGGTTTTTTCCTTTGAGTCATTGCACAATATGGTTGCAAAATTGCAGTATTTAAATAGCAAAATGTTATCTCCATTTATTCACTTTGTTGCCTTTGAAAACAAGAATTACCTATGGCGGCGTATTTGAAATTACCGCTTTCTAACCAACAAATCTATGTGGAAATCAAACTTTCAGACCCGGACGCAACCTATAACACTACTGCTGCTGCTGCTGGCTGTGATCTTGACATCATCTGTTGTGTTGACATCAGTGGCTCGATGTCTGGTAGTCCTATAAAAAATGTCTGTGAAGTCTTGCGTGATATCTATCAGCGTACACAAAAAGATTATCGTCTATTCACATACAATACTCAGACAGATGTCAAACGTACATTAAAGACATTATCTGAACGAAATGACAATCTCCAAGCTAGTGGTGGAACCTCATTTGCCTGTATATTCACTGCCATCAAAGATTATCTTATACAAAATGCATCAGCCAAAAAGCCAGTAACCTTCATATTTATGACTGATGGACAAGATAATGAACCAAATGGATTAGCATTGCAGAAAAGTGTTCAGATGTTAAAGTTAATGTTAAGCGCAATGACGAATGTAAGTCATTGCGCAAGTATTTTTCAAATAATTTGATGCTTTATTCTCTTGCAGTCGCCTCCCATTACATTTCATGTGATCGGTTTCGGTGAAGTAAACGATGAATTTCTTAATAAAATCCGAACATTTGGTACTCGCCAAGGTCTCTTTCGTTATTCAACAGAATCCAAAGAATTACAAAATAATTTTAATGATATGTTTGAATATGCATTGCATGTTCGTCAATTCACCATTAAATTCCCCAATGGAAAGACTTATACTGCAAATAATATTGATAACGAAACCGTTGGTTTTCTTACGAACGATGGTGATGATCTCAGTGCGATGGCCGAATTGACACTCATTGATGATAAAACAACAACGACACAATTTCCTCTAGCACCGATGAAAGACATTCGTGCGATACATCTTCTCCATGCACTGAACCTTATTCAACCGGAAAACGAAGAACAGGTCAAATCAATTCAAACCTATTTGAATAATATTCAAATAACAAACAGCAAAAATTTCGCGGAACGTCTAGAAGCGGAACAAATTTACAAGGAAATCGATCAACGTATGATGGAATATCGACAATTATTTGCACAATTAAAAATGACTCAAGTACCTGAACGTGTAAAATTGCAATTGAGTGCACTGAGACATGATCCAATCTTTGCTAATACACAACGAAAGAAGAAATTAGATTTAAGAGTCTATAAGAATGTCGATTATTTCAAAAAAACAAATATCAGTGGGATATTACAAGGATACAAAGATTCTATTACATTGGATACATGGCAAAAGATCAGAGAACAGAAGGAGATTTGGGTGGATACCTACTCAAATGAAGATATCTATGAAATTATGAGAAAATCACCGGATAATATTTTATGTCTGGGTATTTTTGTTCAACGTGATGAAGAAGTCATCAACAATCCCGCGAAAGGTTTAAAACTTTTAAAGGTGACCAATACTATTATTTCATATGATTCGTTTATCAATGGAATGAATCTAGCAAAAAATAATCAACAAGTCCAAGGACAATTCACTACTCTAAATGATCACTATTCCATCGCTGGTGCTCTCGCCGATGAACAAATCAATGCAGTCATACCCTTGTATATCAACGATGAACATATGAAGCGAATACGTATTCTTGAAGGCATCTGGCTTGGTTATCTCTATACCTTAGATAGTTGCGGATATGATAAACAACAGGAAGTTGCACTTTTGAAATTATTCTATGAAATTATTCAACAACGTACGAATACACAACGGCAAAAACAAATGATAATCGAACTGGAGAAAGTATGTCGATTTATAATCGATGAATCCCAAGGTTTTAAAACCGCGGAACAATTTGGTGAGAAGACCTATGAAAAATTACTGAAGCGACTACCCATTGTCAATACTCAAGAGTATGATTTATCTATACCACTGATGATTGGTTATTTAAGAAATGATCTTACATCTGTTCTCGTACCAATTTACTATGAATATCTTCGACACGAATATCTGAGGAAATATCCAAAGAATTCAGCGGCAGTGAAAACAATTGTAGAAAATCTTGTCTATGGTTGTGACTCGAAACATTTGCCAGCTACCCTCGGTACAAATAATTCGAGCACGCTAACCAATAACAACTTACCGGATTACATCGAACAAAGTTTTATCGATTATTTTCATGATGAATTATCTCAACCAATTCAATTGACACCAGAAAATATAATCAAGGAAAATCGTAAATGGATGATACATGAGGAAATCGAATTGAATTATATCAAAGGTTTGCTGTTACCATTACCCGATTTTATTCGAACGATGTTAAATCTTTGTCAAATCGACGAAGATTACATTGAAAAACATTTAGATTACGACACTTTAAGATATGAGTTATTAATTACATTTTATTATCTGATTTATTCAGATACAAATAGTGGAGGACTTTTAAATTTACCGAAGAAAGAAAATATTCTATCTATCATTGACGGAAGATTGCAGAGTGAGTAGTAAACTAAAGAAAACCAATCGAAAAAAGAGACCTGATGTATATTTTAGGTGAAAAAGAACGTGCCGTAGCTCATGATTACTCGGAAAGCGTCCATCTTGTTCGACTTGTCAGCCATGTTGCTAAGAACTGTAAGACATTAGAAGGTTTTGCTGGTGTCATGCGCAAATATTGTCCGAGCCGTCGTGGTCCCATATTTAGTGAAGTTTTTATACGATTAGTTGAATCATATGATGAGAGTGAGGGTGACACTGTTGGCACAGTAACCAAGAAAGAGAAACTCATCGCTTTGCTGAAAAATCAAATTTCAACAACGACAGCAACCGAAGTAATTTATGAGGATATGGATCAGTGCCATTCGTTACCATCCCTGGATGAACAACTAAGATCATTACGGCGGTTTATTGATGAAAAGAAAGTTGAACAAATTGGATTACAAAATCGAGGAAGATTAGTGGTTTATTGTCGCAGAACACTTATGGGAGACCGACAATGCCGAAGAAAAAGAAACTATCGTTATTTTTTAAACCCATTTCATGAAGATTCTTTTTGAAACAATTAAAACAGAAAATCCAAAGCCAATTAAGGATTAACTAAATGAGGGTAGGTGTGGGTGTGGGTGTGAAAGAAGAGAAAAATAACATTCGTCCAAACTCACACTCCACATAAACCCATTCCCATACCAAAACCCACATCCACACCCTACCGGTTTTCAAAAATCCAGACCGTTTCCATCTCTGCATCAGTCTAAAGACTTGCTTTGTTAATAACAATGTTCAATATTTTTACTTTCTAAGAAACATTGTACTATATTTGATTTTATGCCTTTAATTTTCATCGCTCTATGTTAAAGAGACTCAACTTATGACTTCATATCGTTCATTTATTTTTTATTCTTTATCTATTGATTAATAAAGCAGGATAATATCTTGTATTTAATATCAATTAGTTGATCATTAAAGAGAATATTTAATTTATGCAATACTATGCGAAATTTTAAAAACAGTAGCTGCCATTTTAAAACGTGGAAAAAAACACGGAAAATTCTAATTTTGAGAAATATTTTATAGTATATTAATAATCTATGTATTCAAATAACTGAAAATCTATAAACAATAAGTACTTTAGAGTCTTTTCTAGTATTCATAGATTTAGAACGAATTTGATTGAAAAACACTTCCCATAAGAGTAGCTGCCGAATTCAACTTTGAATATGAACGATATTTCCCAAATATCCCATTGTGCACTGACAAATGAAAAAGATAAATTTTCTCCTAAATATAAATCCTATAATTCAAGTTGAAGCATCTATTGTCATGGCCGATGGCCATGATATAAATTTAGTTATGATATATCTTCTATATTCTGCTTTGTGTTTCGTTATGGTATCATTCATTGCATTCTTTGATGTTTTCTTTTTCTCTCTCTGGTCTCTCTCCATGTACTAAATTTACCCCTATGCAATAAAAGAAACGTCATCGGTATGTGATGAGATATGGGAGGGGAAGAAAGTATGAAAGGGGAATATATATAAAGGGATATACGTTTTGATATGAGTATGTTTTTTTCTTTCCCTTTTTTTTTTTGTGTTTTTCTTTTCCTGTCTTGTTTGCTTTTTATCAATAAGAAAAAAAATTGAAATAAAGTCTTGAAAATGGAGTTAAAAGGAATAAATGGAAGTAAATTAACAATGGTGCACTAGCCGTTCTACTGTACCACCGAACAGTAGATCGACCTACTCCACTGATCATTTTTACATTATCGATTTATGCTTGCTGACGAAATCGCTCAAGCTCAAGCCCGTGCTGCTATACAAGCAGAAGCAAGAAACTCACGCCACGAAGCTCGTTCTCAGTCACAACCGACATCACATTATACTTCATCTTCTGCTCAATCACATAATTCGAGGTCTATTACTACTATGGAAGATCATCAATACAGTAAAATTATTGATAGTATTCCAATCTTTTCTGGACATCCACATGAAAATATAAACGACTGGTTGGATATTGTATCCTTAAAATTTGATATTATTGGTTATGACCCGCGACAAAAACGTCGATTCATCCCACAATATCTAGTTGGCAATGCTTTGAAATGGCATCTCGCACATCGTGATGAGCTGTCATCTTGGGACGACTACCTTGTCTCAATAAAATCTGCATTTCCACGGCTCATCACTACATCTCGAGATATGAATTTAAAACTACTTAGAGATCGAAAACAAGGTGATACTGAATCTTTTATTGATTATTATACTGTCGTCATTGATCTTTGTCATAAACATGTTGCTGATATGGATGATAATCAAATAATTGATTGGCTGAAGGCCGGTATGAAAATTACATTATACGAAAAATTGCAAGGTGAAGAATTTGATACACCTCAGGCTTTGCTTCTTCGAGCTCAGCGTATTGAGCTGAATAATGCTGTTCTTGATGCTCGAAAAGATGAATATATCATTAATCCAACTGTTCTTTCAACTTCATCCTCAGTTCGTTCGGATCACAATACACGTTGGGATCAACCATCAAATTCTCCAATATCGTCAACACAATATCCTACATCATCTTATCCACCTCTTTTATTACCAACTGGTTCTGAACTTCGTGTTCCACCTTTGTCTAATCCCAATGGGCCTCGTTATTCGTTTTCTTCTCAATCTACTTCATATCCCTCACGCGGTCCACCTACCAATAATCGTTCAGCCCGTCACCATCGTCCGATCATCTGTTACTCTTGCAACCAACCTGGTCATATTTCACCTCATTGTCCGTATCGCCCAAAAGAATAAAGGAGGTACGTGATGGTCGTCCTTCCTTCAATATTATCAATCCATCGCTTATTATTATTCCCACAACTATTAATGGTTGTCTCGTACATGCAATGGTCGATACTGGCGCTACGCACAGTCTAATCGCTCGTTCTACTCTTAACTATTTTTCACATCCTCCTATACAAAAAACGTCTACAACTACCGCGGTACTCGGTGATGCTTCTACAACCATCGATGTTCATGGTTTTGTTCGTTTGTGCATCTTCATTAATCACATTCCTACTTTCGCTTCTGTCTTCGTTGTCGATTCTCTTGGAGTTGATTTTATTCTTGGTATGGACTGGTGCATTAACAATGATATTCTACTACGTGTTCGTGAACAAAAAGTTATTGTTCGTCATCCTTCGCACGGAACCACAGCAGTACATTTTTTAGATTCTATTTCTATTCCGGTTCGTCTTGCTCAATCAATTCAACTTGCTCCTCATCACGAACATATTGTACGTTCATTTACACCTTTATCATTTGCCTCTTGTGTTTCTTATATTCCAGATGGCGTTTTATGTCGGAGTAAGAAAATTTATATTCCAGAAGCTCTTTTAAAAATAAATTGTTTTCACTCCTATATTCTGATTCATAATGCTGCTAATACACCTTGTACCCTACGTAAAAATACCATTCTTGGTACTGTTTATTTTTTTAACACAAATCCAGCCCCAGTAAACATTACTGCATTTCCCCTCTCTCTATCATCGCTTTCTTCTAAGTTGCCTCTCATTTCATTATCTTCAATTCAACCTACTTCTATCACTAGTATATCTGATGTCGATTCAGTCCTTCATGATTTAGTTCATCACATCACCGATGACACCGAAAAGCGAATTTTTTTTAATATTCTTAATCGACACCGTCGAATATTTGATATTTCTAAACCAACAATAGCTAAAACAAAACTTCCTCATGTTATTATCACCGCTGATCATCCTCCGATTAGTGTTCGCCCTTACTATCGTACTATTGAACAACGTAAAGAACTTCAGCACGAAGTCGATAAGCTTTTGATGGATAATATCGTCCGACCTTCGACATCTCCGTGGTCATCCCCTGTTATTTTGAAAAAGAAACCTGATGGTACCTATCGTTTTTTAGTTGATTTTCGTCGTCTCAATTCTATCACACGGAAAGATGCTTATCCCCAACCATCTGCTGAAGAGTTAATTTATCGTCTGTCGGGACACAGTTATTTTACAAAACTTGATCTGAGAAGTGGCTACTTTCAAATTCCCATTGTTGAATCAGATAAAGAAAAAACAGCATTTGTCACTCCTGATGGACATTATGAATTTAATGTTCTCGCTCAAGGTCTGATGAATGCTCCAGCAAGTTTTCAACGAGTTATGAATAACTTGCTTGCTACTGGTCGTTGGGACTATGTCGTGATATATCTTGACGACATTGTTATTTTTTCTCATTCACTCGAAGAACATAAACGTCATGTTGACGAAATCCTATCCATCCTCGACACTGCACATTTTAAGGTTTCTCCTCCCAAATGTACAATTGCTGCTAATCAAATAGAATTTCTTGGTCACATTATTACTTCAAATACTGTCGAGCCATGTCGAGAAAAAATAAAAGTAATTCTAGATATTCCATCACCGCGCACTCTATCACAAGCGAATCGTTTCCTCGGTAAAATAGGATACTATCGAAAATTTATTCCCGACTTTGCACGCATTGCTGCCCCATTGCATAAGGTTACCAATAAAACACGTACCAAACGACATGAATTTTATTGGCATGATGAACAACAAGCAGCTTTTGAACAGTTTAAAACCATTTTGACTACCTCGCCTCTTTTTCTTCATTTTCCTGATCCATCTGTTCCATTCATTCTTTCTACGGATGCGAGTCTCACTCGTATTGCAGGCGTTCTTAAACAAAATACTTCTAGTGGTCTTAAAGTGTGTTATTATAAATCTCGTCTATTGTCTGACATTGAACAACGATACTCTGCTACTGAACGTGAAGCACTTGCTATCTATTGGTGTCTCGATCAACTTCGCTCGTACATCGGTGGTTCTTCCGTTCTTATTGAAACTGATCATCAACCACTTTCCAACATGCATAAAAAGCACTCGTTCCGTAATAAACGTATTGATAATTGGCTTTTAAAGTTGCAAGATATTTTACCTCAAATTATTGCGATCAAATATCGTAGAGGTGTCGATAATGTTGGACCTGATTTTTTAACTCGATATGATCCGTTTGATTCTTCGTCAATCATTGAGTCTCCTTCCTCTTATTGTACTGATTCTTACGACAAATCTTCTAAAATTTCTGTACCTCTTCCCCAACGTAATTGTCACTCTAATTCTTCTTTAATTGATTCTGATTGGCCGTCCGGTACAGAAACATGGGATTCGATTGTAGTTTCACCAGTAATCACTCGCTCTAAGGTCCGTGCAATTTCTCATCTCTCCCCTACTGCACCGCTCGATCAATCCCCTGCTACTGTTTTAACTGATGAAGATTCCGAAGAATATTACGATGCTCTTACTGATATGCCTACTCCTTGCGTTTCTCCTTCTACTACAACTTTGTTACCTTCCGATCATAATACGGTCGATTTTAGCTTTTCGCGTATTAAAACAGAACAACATTCTGATCCTGATATTTTCTCTATAATTAAAAGTTTACAAGATAATCCTTCTAATCCTCACTTTGTTCTACAGGACGACATCCTCTTTCGTATTCTTTCCAGTTCAGACACTGATCCACATTCTCGTGTACCTGTTCTTCCAAAGTCTCTCATTTCATCGATGCTTCATACATATCACGATCACCCTTTAAGTGGACATTTTGGTGTTCATCGTACGTTAGCACGTATTCGTACCCAATTTTGGTGGCCTAATATGCGTCGATCTGTACAAAATTATGTTGCATCTTGTGCACAATGTGTTCGCCACAATATTGTTCGTACTAAACCTGATGGTCATCTCAAATCAATTTCTCCTCCATCTGCAGTTTTTCAAGTTGTTCATATGGATTTTTGGGGTCCCGTTCGTACATCATCTAGTGGAAATCGCTATGTGATTATTCTCACAGATAATTTATCTAAGTACGTGATTGCTGATGCTTTACCTGATTGCACTGCAAAATCTGCTGCTCAATTTCTCATTGACAAATTTATTCTTTTTCATGGTGTACCAGAACGTCTTATCACCGACAATGGCACTCACTTTAATAATCATCTTCTTCACGCGATCACTACTTCTATGAATATTGCCCATGCGTTCTCAATTTCTTATCACCCCCAAACAAATGGGCAAGTCGAACGTTTCAACGCTACTTTCGCATCTCAGATTGCGAAATATTGTGATCCCGATCGCGCTGACTGGGATGTTTATCTCCCTTCAATTGTATATGCTTATAATACTAGTGTTCATTCCACTACTAAGTTCACTCCATATCAACTCGCTTTTGGTCGCTGTCCTAAAAGTCCGTTTGATTCGGTTTCTCCTACTATCACATTACCCCCTGCTCATGCTTTTTATCCTTATTTACAGCGCACTCGCCATCTTCTTACAGTACAAGCACGAGAAAATATTTTGAAATCTCAATCTCGTTGGAAACAACGATACAATGAAAATCGCCGTAATCCGTTTTATCGTCTTGATGATCTCGTTTATGTGCAAGTTTGCGCTGGTCGTGCGAAACTTGATGCTCGCTGGCTCGGACCATGTACTGTGATTCAACTATCCGGTCAACAAAATTATCTTGTTCGTGATAATTTGACTGGTCGAACTGATTGGTATCACGTCAGTCAGTTACACCCTGTTGTTGAACGTCATTCATACTAGTATTTCTCTTCTCTTTTCTCACTTTCCCGTTTAATTTTTTTTCTTTTTTTTTTTTGAGGTACATACCGAGCAGTGGCAGCTTACATACCTCTTCCCCTTCCTCATCAGCATATTCTAGAACTATCCTACTTCGTCATATCTTGTTAATCTTTCTTTCGATATCTCTTCCATCGTCTTCTGCATTCTACTACCTGGTTTGCATTTTCTCTGTATCTTTTATACATATAATCACTCAAAATTTTACATTTTTTCCCACTTTCTCACCATCCTGCTTTTCTTTGCCTTCGTACATTATACTTATTCTTACTTCATTCATTCTCTATAACTACATCACGAAACATACATTCGATTACTCAATTATGGCTCGTCGCATCCTCTTTTTGATTTTGACTGTATTAATTTTACCATCTCCTACTTTGGAATTTCTCTTTAATGCCAAAGTTCTTTCACCATCTTCCAATGTACATGTTGATGTTGTCAACTATGTCAAAGGATCCATTGAATCACATCATGAACAATTTCATCATTCCTGGCGTGATTATTCTATACTGTTGCTTCTGGTAATTGTCCTTGGCACATGTTTCTTAAGTTGCTGTGGTATTGGTATTTATTGTATCTACCGTAATCTACTTGTTCGTATTCAAGATACGTCTTCACCTAATTTGAAAAACCCTTGTTCGGGACCTATACGCAACCTTCCATAAGACTTTAATTCATAAGATTTTTTTCTTCTTCTCTCTCTTTTCGTACTTCATTCCTTTTCATCTCTTACATTTTTTTCGTGTGATGTTCACTCGCAGCTTCGAGGGGGGAGATGTCATGGCCGATGGCCATGATATAAATTTAGTTATGATATATCTTCTATATTCTGCTTTGTGTTTCGTTATGGTATCATTCATTGCATTCTTTGATGTTTTCTTTTTCTCTCTCTG